GGGGGGGGGCAGGAAATTAATTGGATGATGCACCACTTGACTACTCATTTAGAAAAAGGAGTGTGTAATTTGCCACAGAAAGTGAGAGACCTGTCAAAATTGTCAAAAAGCCTTATTTCCCCTTGATTACCTTGATACTGTTTTACATCATACTGCGCTGTGTTGTACAAGGCTTAAGGCAAGCACTTGTCTTCTAATGCAAAAGAACACAGCTTTGAACAAACCTCTCTTCTTCAGAAATATTCCTCTGTTGCGTTTGTTCATTTATAGCATCTTTTCCACAGAAGTGGCTGGATGCGTCCTGGCTTGTACAGCTTGCTAGTAAATCTGATGAACTGCTACACTGTCAGGAAGTAACACACTTCTGTTTGAAGAGTGAAGATCTTAATCTAAATATTCATTCACTCCTTCCAAAAGCTGGAAGCTGCAAGGAAAAAGTAACATACACTGGGCCAAGAGTTATTGCTTGGTGAAGGCATGAAAAAAGCCAGTATGGAAAAGTTAACAGATTATATGAGAAATCCCAACAGCAAACAAGCACTCGGTGTGAGAAGGTTTCTAAAGCCATACCACTACATTTACATGCAAATCTTTACAGGCCTCCAGGCCATTCAAACCTATTTTCACTAAACCTGTACGAATAAGCCTTATTGCTTCATCTCAAGAGAAAGAAACTGCTCATATATAGATGCAATGTAAAAGTATCTAGAAGCTTTTCCACCTGCAGAAAGAAATACTAATCAGACCAGCGCTGGATATCTGGAAGAGCTGGGAGAAAGGTGCAGATGGAAGATCCTGAAGCAACTGCTTCTGCCAGAGCTGTATCAAGCCTCTTCGGAGCCTCCAGCAAGATACCTGTTCCTCTCCTAGCAGGGGAACTAGGAACTGGCTATTTATAAGCACTTTTACTCCCTGCCTGTGACAGACTAACAGCAGGCACTTTCACACAGCCCCCACCTCTCCGAAGCCAATTTTGGTAGGCTTGGCCTGTCCCCCCAAACAGCTCCACACGGCATCACATAACATAACCCTTCCTCAGTCTCTAGTAGGATCGGCTTGGTGGGAGGGACTGGAATTCCAGCTTTCCCAGGAATTCCCCTATTTTTTTTTTTTTTTTAAACTTAATTTAAAGCATCATTTGTTATTTTCTTTAAAACCGTGTCCTCCCTCACCTGCCTTTCGGGTTGAGACAGCAGTGCTGGCTTCTACCTCCTCTCCTACAGTTTCCCTTGTATTAGAATCTTTGCAGCTAACCCGAAAAGCACTCTCAGCAGCTTCTCCGTTGAACCCATTTCAAAACATTCTTCGGCTTTTCCCTCAGCTAAATTAGAATTTCTTAGACAAGCATCTGTGGGTATCTAAGGCTGCTAAATCCCGTCGTCGAGTGCCCTGACCTGCAAGCTGCAGGACAGATGCAGGACAAGTCACTGCTGTGCACCGCAGGTATGACAGACGTCGGTGCCACAAGCTGCTGCCAGACTGAAGTCACTGAAAGCAAGCTCGGGAATTTTAAAAGAAAGCAGGTTATCAGCTGCAAGGTGTGGCTCACCACAGCGGTCTCTGATAACCAGGTTCCGGCCTTCTTTCAGGTGGATCGTCAGTAGGTAAGCAAAGGGGCTGGGCAGGTTACTCAAACAGTCATTTCCTTCCTCAAGGGCCTGGGGAGAACAAAGAAATCGGTCAGCAGTTCATTTCTCATGAAGCAGACGCATTAAAACAGAAGCAGGTGTTTTCTTAAGTTTTGCAGCAGCTAAATTCACAGGCGGCACCGTCTCGTCTTTATTTAGGGAAATCTTTTACAGAGCGCTCTGTAGATGAAGAAGGAAAGATATTTTTCTGAGACTTTGTTTCATTATGCAAATAACTATCATCATCAGATATATTCACAAAGCAAGGGGTAACACAAGAAGGTTTATCCCTGCACATGGTTAGTAATATTCAAAATCATAACTGCACAGACAGGATTTTCAAATCCTATCAAGTGGCTGCAGATTTTTCTTTTCCAGCTGCTGCTTTCTTACTCATCTGATGACGATCTCATGAGGAAATACACATTTCACATAGCTATTGAGAGCTTAATATTTCTTTATACAATTCCAAAAGAAAAAAGCAACAGTGGGCAATGCTAGTTATGAGTTTTTGCAGTAGTAAACTCAATAGCATTCTTGTTCCTCATAGAGGCTGCCAAGATTATACACCTCTTCTTCACCATCCAGTCGGTACGTTCAGTGAAAATGGCCTCTAGACAGCACTTAGGGAGGAAGCTATCAGAAGGGAAAGGTAGACAAGTTAATCCAGAATAGGAAAATAAGCTTTGCATGAGAGGACCATGTTTCAAAACTACAAATGCCTTTTTACAGTGAACCAAAACTGGATTTTAGTGGTCTGTTCTTTAAACCTTATTTCCATGTTAAGGTACTTGTAGTCTTTATTTTAATCCCATTTATTCCTAGGCCACTAACTCAGTATTTGTGCTGGTGCTTTCATCAGTTACCAGTGCAATATACAAATTATAGAATACCTTGAAAAAAATCTAGAACATATTAGTCCTTTTAAAACATGAGCAACTGCCTGACTCTACTGCAAAAACACCCCCAAAATACCACACTGGAAATATCTACAGAAGGTTGTTTCACCTGCTGGGTTTTTATATTTGTAAGCAAAAGACATGCAAGCAAAGACCCTGAACGTAACATTAACTGTGCTTCCCACAAAGAATCTGATCAAGTTTTAAAATGCCTTTAAAAAAAAAAAAAAAAAAAAGGACTCACCATCTGATCATCAAAAATTTGAGATGACATGGAAGAGTCTAGATCCGTTCCTCCACACGGGTACTATCAAAAAAGAAATTACAAAGCATTATACAACAGTAATACTGCGATTCCTCAGTCAAGCAAATTTTTTACTCATAGGTATGGTAACTGCTGAAAATGCTTCAGGGTAGGAACAGAAAGATTCTAAAAATTGGTTTAAAAAGAAAATACATATATATATATACACACTTCTGCTTATAGAAACTTCCCCACCTGGAATTTAGACAGAAATTTCTTTTTCCTGTTTTACAGTAACTGCACTTATTCTCTTGAGTCTGTTCTACAAAATAAGTGCCTGCTTCCAGGCACTGGAATTAATGCTTTTCCTCTACTGTAGAGGCCCGTGCTTTTACCACTGAAAGTCCCTAATACAAATTTTCCTGATGCCTGAGGGCTATTGGAGTCGGTGAATTATCATTCTCTGCTGCAACACCCTGTATTCCTTGGCAGAATTTTATTTGATGAATCTCCAAGTTCCCTCACTAAGATGAAATAAAAAAATTCCAGGAACAGGAGCACTATGCTGGGGTTAGAGAGCAAGAAGCACTCTCACTTGAGTGTATTTTCTTCTTCATCACCCAAAAGGCAAGTTTCAAGAGCAATTCTTTGTAAAATCCCATTGTGCAATTCAAATTAGAATTCTCTGAGCCTTTAGTGGCAAGAGAAAAACACAGAAACAGTTTGTCAAAGGGAAAGGGGGAAAAGATGCTGGACACACAGGTTACCACTTTCTGCAGTAACTGGAGGATCTAAGCCATTGTAATCTAGTCCTTCTCAGCACAGAAGAGGAAGTCAAAAATTTCTTCCTAAATACTGACTCATCCAAAATCCCAAGGCTACAGGGGCACAGAGTCTAGACTGTTTGGACACACGGAAGAGATTCATCGGTCAGGACACTTCTGAGGTTATTTTGATTTGCCTGGACAGTTCTATGATCTTCATTTTGCCGAAGAGGCCCTACACGCACGGGAAACTCTTTTGGTCTAACGCAGAGTAATTACAACTCATCCAAATACACAGATACATGCTAAGAATAATAACCTCGCTCTTCAGACACGCACACAAGGCGGAATTTGATCTCCATGTGAAAATGTTATGACATGCAGTGTGGTTACATCCAAAGGCCTGAGATGAGAGCTGCACTGTGTTGAGCACTATACAAACAAACAAACAAACAAACAAAAAAAGGACCGAGTCCTACAGCAGAGTTTTTAAATCCTATAGATATTGATGGGCTGAAATAAATACACATAAGCTTTTGTGTAATCATTCTTTTCCTGCTCCCCTAAAATACATACATATTACGTATCAGGAAGTACAGTGCTTCAGCATTGCAAGTAAAATTTCACTTGCATGACAGAAAACTTAACATTACGATTCCCATAGCAGTCTTTAACTGGAACACCTTGCAAAAACACATTAAAAGCAGAAAAAATCATCATACAGAGCAACAGAAGAAATTCCTTGCACAACACTGCTGAGTTACAGCTGCTAGGGGAACCCTAACTTTGAATTTGCTGACTAGTATGCATAAAATCTCACTTGTGTGCATTAAACAGTATTTTTAGTAGTCTCCAGCTTCAGAAGAATCTCCTTCAGGCACAATCATTGGCATTGATAATAGTTTCTCTTTACAGCTTGTTTTACATTGCATAAAAACAGAATCAAAGAACTCTATTGAAGAACACAAACATAATTGAAAAAGTATTCTCTCTCTGCTACCTTAATACCATTTATCGTAAAAAAATCCTACCTACAAAGTTATTTTTTTACTTGCATAATAGAGTTTGAACAAAGACCTTTTTTTAATAAGTTTGTTCTTTCATTTATTCTCTATATAATGTAAATTGCTATTATTCTAGGTAGCTAACTGCAATGAGATCACTGAATAGAGATAAAAGTCTAGCTGAAAATATGGTCCTGAAATCTTAGTGCTGCCAAACTACACTGAAGTTTCTGAACTTAAATAGAAGGAACTGGGGCCACGTACACCGAGCCGTAGTCCCAAATGCATCTGCATCTGTGGGACCTGATCCTTTCAGAAGCAAAACAAGTGTTACAGCTGACTAAAAAATAAATTATGCACATTTTCACAAAATCTGGCTGTGTTTTTGGATGCAAATTTCTTTCTGCTTAAGCAATCCATTCATGTAACTCAAGAGAACTCTATGTAAAACTAACTGCACTCAAATTACTTAAAATCAAGGACCTGGTAAGAAAGTAGAACAAGACAGAGTAAAGTTCGCAATAAAAAGGATCTAATGCTTAAATGAAAAATTCAGATTGGAGAAAGACGTATGGTGCCAAGTCCTACGCAGGGAGCGTTTCCATAAAATCATGAACACTAACAGCAACTGATCTGCTATCCTTACGCTAAGAGACCAACGTTATGCACACTCCAATACTTTTCTGAAATTCCTCTCCTAAATAGGATGCAACACACTATCCTTCTCTAAAACGCCCTAACTACAGAAAGCTACTGAAGGCCGCGATCCTCAAAAGGCAGAAGCTGCTCTCTAGCACTTGTCATTCTGCCCAGGTAGCAGAGACCTAGTCAGCATCAAGGCAACACTCCACCCACTGCTCTATTAAAAAAAAAAAAAAGTATGTGAAAATATATATATATATATTTACACTCACACATATACACATACATTATATAATCACATATATGATTTTTTATCATTTTATATATACACATATATACATATATATGAATAAATCAAATGTTCCTCCTGACAGGGTTTACAACCTCGACCTCCTCTTATTTTCTGTGAAGGAACGATGAAAAACTCAAAGGTACAGAAAGCACCAGCAACAAGATGAGACTTCGGCTTGCTAGTGACTCATAGCACCTTGCTACTAAGCACATGTATGAATGGTTGAATGCACTTCATCGATGATAAATGACCACGCACCAAAAGCGACTGTAAAAAGTGGCATTAACAGTGTCCTCTGCAGTAAGCCTAAGCAAATGATCTGGGGTGAAATGGCAGCTGGGTTATTCCTTCATCCTTCAAGTTCATCTAGCTCAGCTGCAACAGAGCCCAAATAAAGTACAAGCAAATCTCTTGGCAAATGAAAATGAAACAAGGAAAAACGACAATTTTTTATGTTGTAAAATGGCACTTTTAACCTTTGCAATGTGTCATCATAACAGAACAACAGATAAATATGTCAAAGTTAAGCCCAGCCTGAAGCTGAGCCCGGCCTGACACATATGGTGAGAGCCTTCACTGAAGATGGTGAGTTCTGGGTATGGCAGCTCCGTGCTGATATTTCAGAAGAGCGTAAAAACCACAGGCCCACACTGAGCTTATGCATGTGGCTCGGAAAGAATCTCATGATACTGGGTGACCAATGAAAACCAGGAAACGAGTAGGTGGCATATGACAAGTAGTTCGGGGGGGGGGGGAACCCCAACCTACATATTTTCTTTTTTTAATTTGGATCTGCCTTCCTTCTGATTAACCTCACTCTGATCAGTGAGTGACATGCACAGTTAGAGAACGTTGCAAATATTTGTCACGCTCTCTACAATGACCCTATCCGAGAAGTATTAGGAGACCAATAACCATTGCAATAAACGGTCCCCATCTGAGGCACACAGAGTACAAATTTTGTGGCTGTTCAATGAAGTGTAAGAACAGCCAAACACTGAGGTTTTCACTGAATTGCACTTAAAAGATAAATTAGTTCATTATTCCTTAACTATTTCTACCTTCATTTGCTTCACTGTGCTGCGTATTATTTAGAAAGATCTTGGCTGCCCTTAAGTTGTAATTTGAGGCAGACGGAAGGAAGGAAGGAAGGTGGGACATTCACCTAGTGAGATGATTTGGTATGAAAATAACTATTGATTTATATGCACAAACGCATATACAAATACACACTTTGGAAGAGATAAAGGCTACAGAGAATGAGCCAAACTCAGACTGTTATGAATCAGAAAGAAACTTTTCTCAGAGTTAAGCTCCAAGAAACTATATAGGCACTACCTTCTGCCAAAGTACTTACCTTCCCCAATATCAGAGGTGGAATTGGGGTTAATTTTGGTGCTGCTTGGTAGATTTTAGGTTATAACGGCTGATCTACAACAGTAGAATTGAGTCAGTACAATTAAAACAACTCAGAAGCAAACTCCTAAAATGGTAGCACGTTTGTGGTTTCCAGCCTACTGTATATGGATTAACTTGAGTTGCTACAACTTCTGAGTAAAATAGAAAATAAGCATAGAAAGTGATATAATTATGCCATTTTAGCTGCTTTTCTTACGTAGCTATCTGAATGATGGTATGCTCAAACAAGTGCAAGCCAATGTGTTTAAAAACTTGCATCTCCAAACTGGAAGTGACTTGGCCTTGACTAAAAGTCTGATGCTTTGCATCACAGCAGACTACGAGCGGGCGCTGGTTGGTCAGTACTGCATCTTAGCTAAGCAGGCAGGTTATTAAAGTCTCAGATTCCTTCTGCTTATTTGGCCAGACTCAGGATTTGTCACTCAGGGGAGCATCCCAGAAATGGAGAGCCAGCACTCTTGGCAGCGTGACTAGCAGAGAAACAGTTAACAATATCTCAAGCAATCCCAACTACGGAGTTTCACATGTTTGCAAAGGAGAGACGCCTGTGAAACAGCAGCAGGACCGATACCAGTGTGCCGATTCTGGCATAATGCATGCAGTGTAGTCCGAAACAGTAAGAATAATTTTAGATTTCAGCTGAAAGATTAGGTTTCTCAGGCATCGCGTTACTCTAACAGGTTAAGGCTATTCTGAATGTCTGCCGATAGTGGCCGCAGCAATATTTTTGCAGGCACAGCTTTGAAATTCAAGCAATGTCCAGGAAGATTCTCTCATTTAAGAGGAGTTTTAAAGAAAACTAGCAGGTGGTCAAACTTTATTCTAAAAGGATATACTAATACCACTTTGCTAAGAATACACAGACCTTTGAGATGCAGAACAAGGAGTTTTATATCAGAAAGAACAGCTCCTCAAGAGAGGAGAGAAAAGTCGGCATAATCAGGAGATTATCTTGCTCCTCGTGTCCTCAGAGCAAAGCCTACCACCCCAGAGGGCCTGTGCACCATCCGGAGCCTGCTGGTCACTAACTTCAGAAGCAGGAGAAAGCATAGATGCCAACCGCAGCACAACCTTACAGGCATACTTTGCTACGAGATAATGGTTTTTTACAGCAAATCAGGGATGGAGCATGGGCCATGTCCTACCTTTACTTTCTCCAGGACGTTGCGGCTGCTGGAGATAACAGTTTAGCTGCTTAGATGTGGTTTATCTCATTTTTGCTTTTTTAAGTCATTAGAACAGCTGAGCCCAAATGCAGCCACTCTCCAGTAAGCGTCAGGGAGCCAAAAAAGTCACAAGACAATGACAGACACAACAACATAAAGGGGTCTGCTTTCTCATATACACTTTCCATAAAGTAGTTTAACAAACAGTTTATGAGAAAATGATAACTAGACCTATGTCTCTTGCAGTTTTGCACCTCTTACATCCTGGGTTAGCTGTCACTGTCATTTTTCCTTTCAGAAATTGTTTACATTAGATAGTTATAAGAAATCAACTTTGAGATTGCGATGCCTTTGCCACACTGCACTGCAGTTAGCGAACTGGTTAAACAAACAGTGGGAGGTGGGCCACAAAAAGGTAGATACATACACAGCCTGACTACCTGTGCCTACATTAAAAAGAATACAGGATCCATCTCATGAAAGGAAGAACCAGGAACTTGGGAGATCTGCTGGGTCCAGAGTAACAGTTCCTCCAGAAGCCCCAGGCTTTCTTATCTACAAGAGTTTCAAATATCGAGTTACACCATAAAAATAAGAGTTGGTGGGTAACAGTTAAGAAGAGACATTTAACCTTGTAAACATTTCCCATGACAAAACAACGTTTTTGAATAGTCTGAAAATTAACATTACAGAAACTTTGACGTGGATGAACAATTCACTTCAGATTCCGAATCCCACAGTGGTCACAAAGTATGTGACACCATCCTCACCAATTATCATCTTCCCTTAAAACCCCACAGTAGCACTGAGCATAATCTTAAACAGAGTTTAAAAATGTTGATTGATCTACAGAATCACTACTCTCAAAGAAGAGGATTAAGCTGAAATGTCTACATTCCTTTTTTGCATCTCAGATAACTCCAGCACCTAGGCTATGGGAAGACGGCCTCAAAGCAAATACAAAAATCTAACCTTTTTCCTGCTGAAAACTCAACAGGAAAAGATGCATTTCCACAAAAAATTGAAACATTGAATTTTGCCTAAAATGCTTCAAAGCAGCCACAACCCTGACCTTCTGTCTACATTATAGAGCTATCACAAACTCCACCCAATGACCCACTTTGCTCAGGCCAGGCTGGAATTACTGCTTCAAGTCCGAATTGAAGCATGTCGGACTCTGCTGTGCCTGCAGCACTATATCCAGCTATAGAAATACCAGCCAAAGAAGCAAGGGGAGAGGGAAGAACGTGGGATGAGACAGGAAATGCAGAGGCAACGTTTTAGTTTTTGCATTGCCTCCATTTAATCACAACGTAAACCCATAGGACATCCCAGGGCACGATGCTACAAGTTCACTGCACTTCATCACATGTTCATTTGTGTTAATTCCAGCTACAGCATTCACCTCGTTCACCCCTTCTTTCACCTCACCAGCTTGACGTTGAGTGGGTGGAAGGTAGGTAGATTTTGCTATGACAATTCTGATAAGCTTTCTTAACCTAAGGCAAACATATCAAGTAGCAGCGTATTTCAGAGCTCAGAGGGTTGCAGCTACATTTGAATTAAGTGAGTAATTTCAACAACACTCAAAAATCAGGTGTCATCACCATGACAAAATAAGAAATTAGAGTGTGAATTACAAAGGGCCATTTTGTAGCTGCAGATTGACAGAAAGAAGGTCGGAAGTAGGCTCCAAGAACATATACGTCACATTTGGTTTATATGCATTTTTTCCCCCTTGTTCATTCCTTGAGTAGGAAACCCTCCTCCATCACTTTGTAACCTTGTCAGATAGAGTAGCGCAACAAACCCAAGATGGCTATTTGGCCTGGCCAACACGAAAGCCACCTACCTCAGCCACCTCTTCGGTCAGGTCGCTGCTCAGACGGGCTCCCCGCAGCAGCTCGAAGAGGTCACTGCTGGACCTCCGCGTGGCCTCGGAGCTGGAGCCGCGCACGGCTTGCGTTTCCGATTCAGCCGCGCTAACCTCCGCACGCGCCGACTCCTGCTGCTTCCACTGCCAGTCCTCTCCCACCGGCCTCAGGGAAGAGCTTCTGCCCTTCAGAGACACAACGGAGCCAGGAAGGTCACCGGGGGAGTACGCAGACAGCACCTGAGCACTCGAGTATGTCACCTCTTCCTCCACAAGAGACTCGACCTCCAGCATGTCAGGCACAGACACGCTGAGGCGCCGGTCCAAGGAATGCCTTTTCTTCCTCTCCACCATTTTGCTAGACCTTCTCCTTGTCTTTTTCACGCTCAAGTTTTGTAGGAAAGGCCTAGTTTTCTGTTTCAGAGATCCCCAAACGGACGGTTTATCCAAGTCCATTTCTGCAACAGGAATCTCAGCAATGTGTCTCGTATTAAATGGCTTCAGTGATTCCCAGGGTGACTAAAAGGAATGTAGGAAGAATATAAGTCAATCACAAAAGCGAATAGCAGCTGAAGATTATGATTCATATAGTCGCATCTTGAAACTTTCAGTATTCTTTCTAAGCAGCAAAAACAAAGCATGCTGCATCAGTAAGTGCTTCCAAACACAATCTGGTAGGTAGGTTTGATCATCTGGGAGGAGAGCAGTCAGAGCAAGTATTTAATCCCACACTAAGATGCAATGTCCGTCTGCTACTTTATGCTTGCTAAGAGGGGAAAGATGATATTTCTTCCTCTGCTAAGTCCTGATTTGCAAAAATTTGTGGTTTACCTGACTGGAAACTGTTTCTTTATAAAATTTACTGATAGCAGCAAACTCAGGTTAATACTAACATACAAAAATGCTTGCAAAGCTGGCACATGGAACTTAAAACCTCAAAAATATTAGTTATCTCTAAAAAACGTTAAACAGGGCAAACATCACCACCACTTGGGACACAGAGAAACATTTTTGTAAATATATTAACAGGTTTTTTTTTAATTGTATATAGTTTTTTAAAAGTTTTCAGCCACCTTAGCTAAATACATTACTAGTGAGAAAGTAAATAGTAAGTATTCAATTTTATCAAAATCATGAATTTTATTCTGTTCCTACTTTTTTTTTTTTAATTATTTTTTCTCTAAGGCAGTTAAAAGAAAGGACAAAGTGAAGAAAGGTGAGGACAAAAACAGATGGAGGGAATCACTCACGGATTTTGAAAACCTGCTGGCCGACTCTCGTCTCTCAGTTGATTCATACTGAGCATTGACACCATAGTGAAGAACAAGAACAGAACTAAAACAAAATCACCTACTGTATCTGCATCGTAAGGAAACGGTCAAACGGATGGTCCTGTTGACAGGAGGATCCTCATAGCGTCTTTCATAGTTACCAGCTGAGCAACCATGGTTATTCTGTGAAGCAGAGACAGTCAAATCATCACAACCTCCTTAAGAAAAAAGCTGATGAAACCTGCAGATTTACTCCTTTGCAGTCCCAAAGATACACACGTAGCTTACCGTATATACAATCTTCAAAAATGTATAAGCTTTAACTGCATGACCACTACTTTCAAAACTCATAGCCTATTTACATTCTAATAAGCCTGCAGTTGACTAAAAATGACTTATCTCAACATTATCCTGAACACTAAGGTAAACAGAACAGACAATAGAAATACAACTGTTGGATAAACGCAAATAGAGAAAACAATTTCTGCTCTCAAACAGATCTACTCTCATGTTCGGCGAATTTGAATGAGGTTTAAACTGCTTGTACAGCCAGTTACTTAATAACTCTTCAGAAATTATTTTAATAATTTTATGACCATCTCCACCATAATAGTTGCAGACTGCTGAGGCGTCTACAAAATGCACTGCTTTAACTGTACTAGTATATAGCTAAAGCTGTACAATCCTCCTGGTAGTCATAATTATATCGGTATATAAATGCTTGATATCAGCATAGCTATATTCCACATAAAGAACAGTACGCTATAATGGCACTACATACATTCACATGCCAGTAACTAATGTTACTCACATAGAAAGGCGTGCTGGTCTAGCTATTATCAGCTAAACACCATATTTTCATCTCTAGCTGCAGTAGTTAGATCCAGGATTGCAATACACATGGACAAACTGAAGTTATTTTTCCCTCACCGTTTCACTGAGAGGTGAGAACGTTTTCCGCACCTCACAGGGGAACTGAAACAGAGAGAAATGGGGAGGGGAGGGGTCCCCTTTTCTCACTGTCCCTCAGGCCGTGGTACGAAACAGTCACGTTTACCATGGGAAGAGAAAAGAAGTAAATGTGCACCCTGACGCATCTGTCTGCAGGTGCAAGGCCTCCTGCGCCAAAGCCAGCACGGAAAGCCCAGCGCAACCTCACATGAGACCTGGCTCAGTTTGCTCTCTTTGGCTGAAAGCTTTCACTTAGACTCTTTCCTCTTTAAATAAAAATTTGATGAGGAAGCCGCAGGCTTTCTTCGTAGCGTTACATCATATGTTAATAACAGAAATTATGTTAAATGCGTTTGCACAAAACATTATGTAACAACACTGTCGGGACTCATTTAAACAACTCATCTCCTGCCAAGGCTTTCTGCCTTGCTCGCCTGCACGCACAGAAAACTGCTAAAGTCAAGGCATAAGTAAGGCAGGATCAGCTCCCAGTATCCACATCCCAAGGCTCTTAGGCTTCCTGCTTTTTTCCTGTTATTCTCCACCCTGCTCATTTTGACAACCTGCTGCTGTTTTTCTTAGTTTGTTTGCTTTTGAGATTTTGTCACCTAGCAGCAGGCGAATTTCTGTAGACATTTTCCCATTAAATCCCTTCACTTGATTTTTCATTGGAAATGCACATCCAGCAGGGATGGTGGAAGGACCGTCCGCCATCCTTGAGGCCAACTGACATCTAACATGCTATGAGCAGACTCTTCCTCAAGCCAGACAGAATCGCAGCAGGGAAGGGAAGGGGGGGAGGAAAAAAAAAAAAAAAAAAGAGGGAAGGAAAGTCTCCAGGTTTTGGTCAAGACAACTAGGATGGGTCCAGCTACCTGTTATCTTCCACCTGTGGACCTATACACCTGCAGAAGTCCCCAGCACTGGCGCGCTGCGGCACAGTGCTCGAGCTGGGAGCTGCCAGCCTTTCTGGGGATATCTTGGGGCCACAACAGCATGCACTCGCGCGCAACTGTCACCGTTAACCAAC